TATTTATGCTTTATTTTATTTTTTTTTTAGATTCCACATAAGAGCGATCTCATATGGTATTTTTCTTTCTCTTTCTGGCTTACTTCACTTAGAATGAAATTCTCCAGGAACATCTATGTTGCTGCAAATGGTGTTATGTTGTTGGCTTTTATGGCTGAGTAGTATTCCATTGCATAAATATACCACAGCGTCTTTATCCAGTCATCTGTTGATGGACATTTAGGCTGTTTCCATGTCTTGGCTATTGTAAATAGTGCTGCTATGAACATTGGGGTGCAGGCGTCATTTTGAAGTAGGGTTCCTTCTGGATATACGCCCAGGAGCAGGATTCCTGGGTCAGATTTTTTAACGTATTTTTAAAAACACTCTTTTTTTGGTCCAGCTTCTTTCACTCAGCATAATTATTTTGAGACTCATCCAAGGTGCTGCACATATCAACAATTCATTCCTTTTTATCACTGAGTAGTGTTCCCTTGATTGAATTTCCTACAATTTATCCATTCACTTATTGATGGAATTTGTGTTGTTTTTAGCTTTCGAACATTACAAATAAGGGTACTGTTGTTATTTGTTCTAGTTGATTTTTTGAAGATTACATTGGATTTCCTACATTAGTGATTATGTTATCTGCAAATGAAGACAGTTCTCCTTCCTTTTCAAAATGGATGCCTTTTATTTCTTGTTCTTGTTGGTTGCCCTGGCTAGAACCACCAGTACAATGTTGAACAGAAATGGTGAGAGTGAACAACTTCTCCCCCTTGTTTCTGGTCTTAGAGGGAAGCAGTCAATCTCTCACCGTTAAGTAGGATGATAGTTGCAGGATTTTCATGGCTGTCTTTTATCACGTTGAGGAAGTTCCTCTCACTTCCTAGGTTGCTAAGAAATTTTTATTAGGAATGGATGTTGAATTTTGTCAAATGTTTTTCTGTCTATTGAGATGATCACATTTTTTCCTCTGGTTTGTTAGTATGGTGAATTACATTAACTTACTTTTAAATGTTAAGCCTACCTCTGCATTCCTGAGATAAACCCTATGTGGATATAATTTATTATTCCTTTTATGTATTTTTGGATTTGGTTTGCTAAATTCTGTTTAGAACTTTTTCCTCTTTGTTCATGAGTGATAATGATTTGTAATTTTCTCTTCTTGTAATATCTTTTTTCTGATTTTGCTATAAAGGTAATACTGGCCTTTAAGATTATATTGGGAAGTATTCCTATTATTTCTTCTCCAATTTTCTGGAAGAGTTTGTGTTGATTTTGTATTATTTTTTTTCTTAAATGTTTGGTAGAACTCTCCAATAAAGCCATCTAGACCTGGAAATTTCTTTGTTAAAGATTTTAAACTACAAACTCCATTTATTTAATAGACATAAGGCTATTCAGTATTGATTAAGTGGCATTTCACAAATTTTGATATACGGTATGTTCATAAATATTTGCTAATTTCCCTTCTGATTTCTTCTTTAATCTGTTATTTTTTTTAAGTTACTTAGTTTCTAAATATTTGGAAAATTTCCAATTCTTTCTGTTATCATTGTCTAATTACATTGTGGTCGGAGAACATACCTTGCATGACTTGAATCCTTTTACATTTATTGAGACTTATTTATGGTTTGGTAAATTTTCCACAAGTATTTTAAAATAATGCCCATTCTGCTTTGTTCAGTGGAGTGTTCTATAACTGTCAACTACATCAAGATAGTTTCTAACATTGCTCAAATTTTGTATATCCTTAGACTGTCTTCTTGTTCTACCAACTATTGAGAGAAGAGTATTGAAATCTCTGATTTATCTATTTTTCTTTGCAGTTCTGTCACCTTGCTATTTGTTTTCTTCTTGTCCCATCTGTTCTTTGTGCCTCTCTGTCTTTTTGGATCAATGTTTTTTGTGCTTCTATTTTATGTCCTTTGTTGGCTTATTAGCTATAGCTCTTTATTATTTTAGTGGTTCTTTTAGGGTTTACAGGATAGTCTACCTTCATGTGATATTATAATGCTTCATATGCAGCAAAAGTAACTTACAATAGCATATGTCCATCTCCAATCCTTACTTCTGTTTCTCCCCTCTTGGCCTTAAGTTTTCATTGCTGTAGATTTTACTTACACTTATAATAGAAGCCCCACAGTGTACTGTTACTGTTTTTGTTTAAACCATTGATTATCTTTTAAAAATATTTAAATAATAAGGAAAAATCCTTGTATGTTTATCGATGTAGTAGTTACCATTTCTGACACTCTTAGTTTCTTTGTGAAAATGTTTTCATCTTGGTATCATGTCCTTCTGACTTTAGGATTTCTTAGAATTTTTTGTAGTACAGATCTGCTGGAGATGACCTCCTTCAACTTTCGTGTATCTGAAAATAATTTTATTTTGCCTTCATTTTTTAAAATTATTTCTACTCTGTATAGAATTCCAGGTTGACAGTTTCTTTCCTTTAAACCTGTTGCTCCTCTGTCTTCTCACCTGCCTTGCTTCCAGAGAGATCTGCCATCATCCTTGCCTTTGTTCTTGTAGATTTAATGTGACTTTTTTTCTCTGCCTACTTTTAAGATTTTTTTTCTTAGGCAATTTGATAGTGGGTCTTGGTGTACTTTTCTTAATGTTCCTTATGCTTGGGTTTTAATGAGCTGCTTGTATCTGAGATTTTATAGTTTTTATCAAATTTGGAAAATTTGGGGGCCATTATTTTTTTAATATTTTTCTGTCCCCCTCCTGGGACTCCAATTATACATAGATTTGACTGCCTGAAGTTGTTCCATTGCTCAATAATGCTCTCCTTTTTTCTTCCAGAAAACAGAAAAGGGGGAAACACTTCCCAACTTTTTAAAAAAAATAAATTATTTTTTCAGAGCAGCTGAGTTCCCTGCAAAACTGAATGGAAAAATACAAAGAGTTCTCATATAACCCCTGCCCCACACCACACATGCACAATCTTCCCCACTACTGACACCCCCCACCAGAGTGGTACATGCATTATAACTGATGAACCCACATTGACACATCATTATTATCAAAAGTCCATGGTTTACATTAGGGTTCACTGTTGGTGTTGTATGTCTTATGGGTTTTGACAAATCTATAATGACACATTTTTATAATTATAATGTCATATGGAATAGTTTTACTGGCCCTGAACCACTTTATATAGGAAGCTGCAGAGCTTTAATTGAGCTGGCACTACACTACCACTCCAACCTTATTTATTCTTTTCCTCCTCACTCCCTCTGCCCTAGCCACACTGGCTTTCTTTCTATACCGCCAACACATCAAGTTCACTGTCTCCTCTCATTCTTTGCACTTGCGTTGATATCACCTGGAAATCTCTGTTTTGATCTTCACACAATGGGCTCCTCATTGCCATTCATAAAGGCTGTTGTCATGCATCTTGCAGTCACTTGCTAATTACATTACCCTGTTTATTTTTAAAACTTCATAGCACTTAATACTATCTAAAGTGATTTTGTTCCTTTATTTATTTAATAATTCATTGTCTATTTTTCTTCCAGTCCTTTCCCCAACACCCATTAGAATGAAAGGTGGGATCTCCTTCACCATACATAATAACGTGCCCTAGTCACATAGTAGGTGGTCAGAAGTGTGAAAAGTAAGTGAATAGTTGTTATATTTGCCTGAAAATCTGTGACTTTTCTTTATTAAAGGAATTACACCTTTACTGTACATTAATTTGACTTCTTCCTTCATCTCATTAATGGAGGGCAGGGAGTGGGGTGGGAGTGTGTGTGTGGTGTGTGTGCAAGTAGGGGTGTGTGTGTATAGAGCAAACCTTATCTGATCGACTCCAAAGAGCTTTAGGAGGTGGTTCTCCAGAGATGGGAATCTCTAGACGAAGCTTGCTTCCTGCAATTACTGTCACTGTATTGTCAGCATCGAGACCATCCAGGATGATCTTAGGAGGATCTGGAATATTAAACACGGTTTTTGTTATCAGACAGTTATTTCCATGTGAATATCTGGACTAGTATTTGGCTAGTGTTAAACACTGGTAGTAACCAACATTTTGTAGTAACCAACAAGAGGAGTCTAAGTTACTACCAACATTTTGTAGTAACCAACAAGAGGAGTCTAAGTCGTGGGTGCCTGATACCTTGCAAAACTATTTCATTATAAGATTTCTTAAGAATCAACTATTATGATTAGTGGTTAATACCAATTCATGTATTTTTCCTTTAAATATCACATTTGGATACAAATCCAAGGTAAGTAAAAGCAGAAAAACAAGAACACAATTCTGCAATGCTTTCTTTTATCTACTCACCAACAACATGAACTTTGGCAGGCACAGTAATATTGTAGGAATCTGGTGTAAATACATAATCACCTTCATCCTCAATGAGAGCATTGGCTATCACTAATTTGTGGATTCTAAGGAAATGAAAAAAAACATATTTCTAAGACTTTGCAAAAATTAATACTGTGTAGCATCCAAACTGAGGAGACATCTGGTTTTATCTGATTAACTTGCTTAGTGCAGCCTGGAGAGAGGGCAAGAATACTGTGAAGCCTTAATTATCCTACTTGTAGATCCACATTCAATATTTATTTGGGTTATACGAAATTATCTCTACAAATACAGCCTGCTTATTATGTAAAATTTTCTTGTGCCTTTTTTAATCTCCTAGCTTAAAAAAGGATAGAAGATAACATGTCTCTAATGCCATACTTTAATATTCAAGAATTACCAAGAATAATCTTGACTTTGGCTTTTTATGCAAACCTAAGAGCAATAGTTCTTTTTTTTTAATTGACGTATATTGCATGTACAATATTATATAAGTTTCAGATGTACAGCACAATGATCCACAATTTTAAAGATTATGCTTCATTTATAGTTATTATAAAATACTTACATAAGAGCACTGGCTCTTAACTTTATTGGCATCATGAACCAGTACATATCTGATGGACACTACGGCTCCTCTCTCTGTAGAAAAGCAAGTATTTTTGTATGCACAGAATTTGCTTACAATTTCAGAGGACATATAGGGGCCCCTGAAGTTCATTCACAATCTCCTAAGAATCCACAGATTCAAGTTCAAGAATCCCTGCCTTACATCTTTGTTAGATTCTAGGATATTATGCACCCCTACAAAAAAAAAGTTGTGGAAAGGTCATGTGATACTTATTAAGGACAGTTAATCCAATTTGACCAGTTCTTCAGTTAAAATCCCGTAGCATTCCTCTAACCTCATGTTTAGATGGAAAGACCCAGTCAGTGGGTTTTGAAATAACACAGCACCTTACCGTAAAAGGTGCAGGTACAGGATGACAGGTATGACATGACATACAAGAGCAATCACATACTCTTGCTATTCAGAAGCAAAGAACCAGAAATAGATCCTCTCTCTCTGACTACTCTCCAACATCCTTACCAATCATGTAACTTAGGAAGCAGAAGAAGTGAAAATGGGGACCCGTCCTCACTTTGAGATTGCCCTAGTTTGCTTACCTTCCTTTGTGAACAACTTTTAGACGGTCAGTCTCCTGAACAGGTAGGCCATTTTTAGTCCATTTTCCTGATATATTTTCAGAGATTTCACACTTCAAGCAGATTTCTTTTCCAAGATTTACAGTCTGATCAGTCAGAGGTGTCAATACCTTCAGAGGTTTTACTACAGAAATAAGAGATGGTTATAAGAGCCAAATCCAAATTCCAGACAGGCCAAGATGATGTCATTTCACAACAGTATAGTCAGTTTCACTATAACACTTGTTTGGAAAATAAGAATGTGTTCCAATGCAATTGATATATTAGGAGACAATTAGAGCAGTCACACAAATTTCATGTTTGTGCATGATTTTATTCATGGCAAAGACTAGGTGAATCCAGAAAACTGCACCCAGCTGAACTGAGCCAGATAGGGTGGTACAAGACACACACATACACCTCAAACAGCTATCAGCTACTTCAGTTCGCCCATCTCAAATGAGCCACCTGTGCATATCAAAGATTACAATTATCCATCCAATTTTAAACAACCTCCTTTTACCACTCCACAATAGCTCACAAGCTGCAACACTACTGATACCACTTCTACAAGTCAATTTCAGGTCCTTTTCAAGGTAAAGTGCCATATTTATTGTAGTATTTATTAACCATTAACATGTATAAAACTGCGCTACGGTTCACTATTACATTCTTATCATTTGGTTTTTTTTTTTAAATGTGTCCCTGACAAACTTTTTGAGTGTTGTGTCCTTAACCCCCACTTTCCTCATTAGCCCTATGGTTTTTTACTGCATGACTTCATACAGCATAAGTGATTTTTAGAAATGCATACATTACATTATAGAAGGACTGACTGTCAAGTAGGATGTGTGTTTTTAGTAAGGCTGTAATTGCTTTCAATGGATAAAAACATCAGTTAAGAATCTGCCTATGGTTGAAAAAACTTTAGATCTTACACTAAAATGGCCGTCATTCCATGAAACATAAGGAGTGTACTGAGATTACTTCTGAATAATTCAATGATCATATAAATGGCAACTGGGCTAAGAAAGAAGGAAGAAAAGCAGTATTTCTACTCTGTATGTATTATCAATCTTCTTGTGAAATTTACTATTTTAATTTTCATGGCTAACTGGAAAGGACAGACTCTGTCATTAAGAACCAACTACCATTAGGGGGCATTTGGGGAAGTACATGAATTCTCTGATGCCTCTAATTAGCAAATGAGCCCTTACAGTGTTCTCAACTGAGGACTATTAGACTGAGTAACATCCCCCCTAAAATGTGATGGCAGAATGTTTATTTAATAATAGACAGCAAGTTCACCCATGGATTAAGCAAACAGGGGACACATCTAAGTTTTTATCACCTATTTATATGGTTTCCAGATTAAAATATTTCCTAACCATTTGGGTACCTTCTCTGGCAGGAGATTTTTATACTTCCTTCCCAATATGGGTACTCTACTATTAAACTGAGCAATCAGTTCTTTTCTCAGAGTCTCTGATTGATATGACATAGATACTCAGCTAGAATGAAATCTAATTTTACATAATTTAAAATTTAAAACTGCCATAAGTAGAAATTAAACAAATCGAAATTTTCCTAAAACTGAGTTAATAAACGCAACACCATCAGTAAAACAACTTGGAAGACATCCAAGAAAGCCTCACTTACAGTCAACACTGAGCTTAGCAGATGACTGTCCTCCAGTTGTCATTACAGAATATTCTGCAGTATCAGCCTTTGTTGCTCCTTCTATGACCAAAATGTGTTTTTTGCCCTCAACTTTAATAAAGTATCTTGATCGTGGACCAGGGATGATTTCCTCACCATTCTTAAACCTGAGTTAAAATAAATTATTTAAGAAACTTTATAGAAGACCCTTCAGCAGACAGATACCAGACACTCAAGAACTCTTTGCTGAATTAAAGAATGTATGAATCAATCACTGGATTAATATTGTATCAAGTATTGTCTGAAAAACTACATTAAAAAAACATAAGCCCCCTCTTTCCATTCAAGATCAATCAGATAAAGATGCTAAGAGTTGATATTACCCATGTTTGGGCTCTGATACACCCTAGTAAGAATAACATTTTAATGCATTTTAAAGATAGCTATGAGTCTAGGTTAGAATGAACAATCTATTTTGTACCGATTACTAGAGACTCCTGCTGCATACTTTACTATATCTCTCAACAAAGCATTTCATTTTAAGATTCAGAATCTTCTAGCCTTTAATTTTGACGTTACTCACAAAGAAGTTGAGAAAACACTTTTCTTCTGACCCCAAAATATGCTCTTTATTTTTTAAAAAATTACTTTAAAGTAACTAGTGATTCTCAGTCTAAAATATTTTTCCAATGTACTATAACAGTAAAGTGACTAGGAATAAAATGAAAAGAAAAAAAGTTTACTTTTCCACATAAGTGGCTAGTATGGTAGAGTGAGACTAAGCTTGACATAGAGCATCCGTGGGCTTTGCAGTCAAATAGACCCAGGGAACCTTGAACCATCCATTTATTAGTAAGTGCTGACTTCCCTATATCCTTACCAATATAGATTTCTGGATCTTTTTTTTCAGTTTAATAGGTGAAAAAAATCAGTATCTTAATGTAGTTTTAGTTATCATTCCTGCTAACACGAATGAGGTTGAGATTCTTTTCACAGGTAGAAAAGCAATTTCCAGTTCTCCAAACTATGACGGTTTTTTTTTTTGTCTATTAAAAATACACAGACCTCAGGAAAGCTATTTACCATTTTACATTGGCATCATCTTCAGACACCTCACATTCTAATTCCACTCTCTCCCCACAATAAGCCTTCGTATCTTCCAGCTGTTTGGTCACCATAACTGGAGGCTCTGGTGTGAAAAAAGGGAAAATCAGAATTATTAAATGTCCAAAAACTTGCCTTGTGACCCTGAGTTTGTTCACAGATGAAAATCAACAATAAGCACAGAGCTATGGTTAGATGGTGGTGAATAGTAAGTGGGTTTTTAATGATTTTTCTGGGCAAAACATATAGCTGACAACTCTGGGTAAGTTTTCCCAATTTTTTCCCAATTTTCCCAATTCTTCAAATCAGAAAAATTATTGTTTCAGACAGTAGGCCAAATACATCAAATATCATTCTTTTGGCAAATAAGACACCAGATGGTAGACATTTCTGGTGGAGAACCTATAACCAATACTAAAATTCTTTGATTCTGGTACTAGATGGATGATGGAGATTGCTGAGTTGTCTTTAAAATTTTTTTTCTAAACTAAAGTATAGCTGATGTACAATACTGCAGATTTGCTTTAATCAGAGGGCCTCATAAGGAAAGTGACTCATGGCTTCGTCGACACCCTCCAGCTCTTTTCACAATGTCTTAGTAAGTGACGGTCTTCAGTGAGTGCTCTCAGTGCCAACCACTGGCAAAGCTGTTTCAAGAGAAATCTATTTGTGATCAGCTGAGTATGTGAAAAGAGGATTATCCAGGAAACTCTGTTAGATATCAGAAGTTATAACTCGAATAATTATATTGCAAAATACTGCCTGAGCCAAGACCACAAGGCATTTTTACTCAATGCTTTTTTTTCTCCCCTCTGTTTTTCCAATCTTCAAGAAGCCTGAAGATTAATGAGGATGCACAATAACTGCTAGTGTAGAGACGTTCAGCGTGGCCATCTAACACCCAAGCAAACCATTTCTAGAGGTTCTACTATCTCTGCTCTGGAGCTCAAGAGCTCACAGTTTTACTTCCATGTTAAATATTAGCCCTGAGAGGAGAGCCATTGGCTCTTGATGACTATAGTAAGAGATCACTTTACCTCTCACAAAGAGCTCAGTGGAACACTTCTCATCACCAGCTGTCACATAATACTCTGCATCATCTGTTAGTGAACAGTTATTGATGAACATGATTCTTTCACATCCTTTATGTTCAAAGATGTATCTGTTTTAAACAGGAGGAAGATAAACAGCCTGTGAGCTTGATTCTATTCTTTACTGCCAGCAAATATGGCTTATAATTCAGCAATGTTGAAAACAGAAATAATCATTTTGATTTGCCATTCATGTAGTCATACCTTATACAGTTTAACGAACATCGAACATGAGAAAAATTTCTATCTAACACACAATGTAATACATACGCATATTTACACATATTATTTGTGTTTTCTTTTATATACTGTTTTTATTTCAAATAGAAATCAATACTTACATATTTACCATCGAACAATTTCTAATCTATTGTTGGCAAATAGGGTTGGCTGAGATTTTAAACTCTGTACATTAAAAAAGATGATCAATTCATCTACTTTATAGAGGGACAGAGATGATCTTTTCCACTGACTCACTAATTCTACTCCTTGCTAGCACAGTGATACACAGTGAATAAGTGATAATACAATGTAAACAATAATAAGAACTTTATCACCAATATAGACAGTAATTCTACAGAATGTGATATTCTCTTAAATGAACTCAAGAACTAGTGTTATCATATCACAGTTACCATTTATCAAGAAAGAGTTTGAGTATTTGAAATAAAAAACTAAAAGCCGAGAAGACTGCAAAATTTGATTATCTGTGACCTAGATTATGGATGGGTACGTTAGGGCATTATAACAGACTAAAGACAAAGTTCTACTTGGGAAAATTGAAGATTTTACGAACAAAACACTAGACAAACATTTTCTGGATAAAGATAAACAAGTAAAATTTTGCTTTTGGTGAATTCAGGCTGCCTTCAAGAGATTAAGATACAAAGTCTCTCTGAGAGTACGAGTGCATTAAGAAATTGGAAATCACCTAATTGTATTACAGAAGTAACAGATTTTCAGGACTAAAATCTTTTATAAAGATGCATGTGGCTCCTGTTAACTTAAAAAATATACTGGAGTTGAAAATCTCAGGCTGAAAAGGATCTTTGTACAGTAGTTTCATAATAGACTAGTGATACCATCAGATATCAGGGGTTAGTCTGTCTCCTTCATCTGGGAAAGGGCCAAGAAACGACAAAACACAGGCTTTAGATGCTATGCTGAAAAACAAAAGTTATCTAATTAGAAGGTCTGATTGCCAGCTGGTATATGAAATATATATTTCAAATTTTTTCCAAATTTTATTTTTAAAAAACTCGGGGAGGTTTGGCAATGCTCTGAAATAATCACATATAACCTATAGTGACACAAAACCATAACTAGAAATCACCTGAAATAGTTTGTATAAATTAAAACACAAAATAAGATTTAATTTATATAGTGCTATCATTTTCAGTTTTAAAATACATGAAAACTTTTCGCTGTCCCTCCATATGATTTTGCATTATAAAGACATAACTAAAAAGTGCTTTTATTCACACAACATTAAATCAAACTACTTTATGATTTTTTTTATAGTAACCACTGATTATTTACAAATCTCACTTACTTCGTACTGGGTCGAATTTCTTGACCATTTTTATACCATTTCACCTCCAGTTTTGGATCTGCCAGTTCCACAACAAATCTTACCCTGCCTCCTTTATCAATCTGATATGCAGGATCAAGAATTCTTGCAAAAGCTGGTAGAGAGAAGTAAAACTATGTTAATGTGCATATACATATGCATAGAATTTAGATAGTAAATACATGTATGTGAACCTAAGACTAAATGAAAAACTGAGACTGAAGAAAAAAAATTAGGAACCTTCCAAATTATCCCTTATGTTTTAGAATTGTGTCAATTTATAAACAATAAGATGGTTTAAAAATTTGAAGAGAACCCACATGTTTTGGGGAGAAACATAAAAAAAGAATTATTGAAAAGGCTTTAACAATGATAGTTTTAATTCTTCAAGGGATATATAATATAAAGCATTCAAATGAAATTTTTACTTGAAGAACATACTTATTCTCCTAATATGATTACTTTCAGGATCATGGGCATGATCATTGGCATGATCATTGGCATTATCTTTGCACTTCTATGTCACAGGTAGTTTTTTTTAAATCATAGAATTTGAGATAATTTCAATGTCTCGTGAGCCTAAATTGAATGCCTTTGACTAACTGAAATAGTAGGCTTATCAACATTTTTTGGACTGTGGAACCCTGCCCAAATATTGGCATGTTTAAAAACTGATACCTTATCGAGTGTAAGTGGATTCCGCGTGCCCCATCAAATGCGTGGAAAAATATAACAGTAAAACAAAGAGACATACAATCTACTCTGCCCAAAAATTAAGAATTTGAGAGTGCGGGAGAGATGCGGAGGATAAAGGGGCCTCTGAGAAATTCCCAGTAATAGCTGGAATATTTAATATTCCATTATTCGTTGCGTATGGCACTATAATGTACTTTCTGTTACCTTAAATCTTCAGCAGCTGCTACTCGTTTAGCCAGTCTCGTGCGAGGCCAAGTTAACCAAGAGAAGAGTAACCCCCGCAAACGAAACCCGACCCAGTTCCACCCCAAACTCGGGAGGAAACAGGAAGGATTATGGGATTGGGTTCCCAGTCAGGTCTTTCGCCAGCACAGGACACGGCCCCCCTGCCACGCCCCCCGGGCGGGCTCACCCGCGCTCTTCTTTTCCACTCTGCGCATGCGCTTGAGCCGCTTGAGCATCCCGCGCAGGTCAGTGATGCCGTACTGGAAGGCGATCTTCTCGTATTCGCTGGGCTTCGCATTCTTCAGCAGCTCCCACACGTCTACCTCAGGTTGTTCCTCTTGCTGCTTCACCTCCCTAACCGGGGAGAACCATTACCCAGTTTAGTAGCTGACTACTGGCCCTCAAAGACAACGGAGATCGGAGTATGGTACCGAGAGTTTTTGGTTCAGTGCTAAAAGCTCTGTTTAAAGCCTGAGTACTTCAAGCTGACGAACAAACAAACAAACAAACAAAAGCTGCTTTGCCTGAAGTCTCAGGGAAACTTCCAGATAGTTAAAGATAAGATATGTTATTTCGCTCTTGTTTTCCTAGTTAAAAATCACAGTATTAGGGGGAGATAAGGATATCAAGAAATAGCCTGAGAATATTTTTTACTTACTTCCCATTTGAAAGTCTAAATATGAGGTAAGATTTTTGAGGAATTTAAGGTCAGTTTTCATCTAGGATATAGGTATTGAAATAAGGATTAAGAACTAGAAGATTTAAATATTGGTCTATTAAAGAAAAATATTCTTTCTACCTTCATCTACCTTTCTACCCTATCTATATATGGAGATGGCATAAATACAGTATTTCAAACGTTTGGATTTTGCAAATACCATTTTTCCTACCGTATTAGTAAATGTGTACATTAACCATTTTTTTGCTTTTTTAATACAAAAAAAGTATTTGAAACTGTGACAAAGGGTGTGTGTGTTTGGTACAGTTATTTTTCACATGATTTGTGGATACATACACTTTTTAGAAGAAGAACTTTTTTTTTCTAAGTTGTCAGAGTAAAAGGAGAAGGAGACCCAAAATTCTCTATTTCATCTTAAAGTAATGTCTGGAACATTTTTGGAAGCAGGTTGGGTATGAAATATAAAAATATAAATGTGAAACTATAAAGCAAGTCATTAAGTGTTCCATGAACAAAGTGAAAGTAACTTCTTAGTACAATTATCAAAATTACGACCCTAAATTTTGATCACCAACTAAAGAACATATAACTAATATATATACATATGATAAAAAGTACATACACTTGTCTGGCCTTATTTTAAAACCAAAAACATGAACCCAAACTCAGGAATAAACACTCTTCAGGGAAAGGGCCTTAGTATAAGTGTGAAATATAATTTAAACTGATTTCCTTCAAGGGCTTAATAGTCCCAATTTTATGTAAGCTTGTTTAACTACTTTTATCAGGTGAATGTGGAAATGGTACAGTGACTACTTACTGTGAATAATGCTGATTTGGATATGATTTTCCAGGAAAACTGGTCAACACATCTTAAACATCAGTGTGAAAACAGATTCATGCTATCATGTTAGCAAATAATGGCTTACATATGTTTTCACTGTCACATTAATTACACCTGTTTCCGAATGTCTTGAGGAAGTACTGAGTTGTAATCATAGGAAGGGGAGGAGAATATAAATATGAATCTAGAGGGGTGGCATTAGGCAAGGATGACTTCTGCATATCTAATTTCCATTGTCATGTAAGTCTTTTGCCCAGTAGAGGAGGATGCTGAGGCATATCTCCTGGAAAATGGAAGGAAGTGAGAGGTCATTGGTCCATCGTAACCTTTGTGGGAAGGACTAACAACACCATTAGGAAAATGTGCCTCTTAAAAACTCAAGATACAACTATTACCTTCATTTCACTGAAATGATAACTACACCCTCTATTAACATGGGGAAAGTGAAAAGCTTAAGAAAATTATCCTGAAGTTGGAATATTGGTAATAATTTGCTCAGTCTACTGAATCTACTGCCTGAAAGCAGTCTAAATATCAAATACACCCTTTAAATATTTTGTAAGAAGTCTTGGAGAATTGCAATTAAAATGTGTATGCATGTACATATGTCTATATTCTCTGTGGGTCTTCCCTCAATCCACTTTATTAATACTCTATTTTTTGTCACATTCTAGCCTAATACAGCCCCTAAGTTGTAAAATTATGCCATACCATATTGTGTTCAATTTGTATTTCAACCAAGAAGAATTACATACACATTTCCAAGTACCCTCCTGACATTGGTAAAAAGATTTAAAGATCTCAGATTAGATTAACATAGCTAACAAGGGGCACAAATCAAACATTGAGACATACCTAGCTATGAGGTGAATGTTTATACAAAGGAAGCCAGTAATAAAGATCATCATTTTCAGTGTAATTTCTTACATCAGTTTTGTTGGTAGATTCATAAAACCTGATCCTCACCATTTTTTCCATTAAAACACCAAAATACACCCCCACTCAACCACATCCTTAATCTTTTTTTTAAAACCATTTGTTTTTGTTTGTTTGGAAGGGTAGGTAATTAGGTTTATTTATTTAATTAGGTTTATTTATTTTAATGGAGGTCCCCAGGACCTCATGCATGCTAAGCACACACTCTACCACTGAGCTATAGCCTCCTTACCCCCACACCACATCCTTAATCTGAACAAATTTTATATACAAGCAACAGTAGCCTTTTGGATATTCCTTCCTTTCCTCTCCATCACTTAGCTGAATCCCAGACTGCAAGGAGAATTCATCATTTTGTACTGGAATGTGAGGTCAAGGCTCCCACCTGTAACATTTCCTTAACTTACACAGAACGTATCTTTACTTACCATGGTGTCTGCACATGACCCTATCTGCATGGCTACATTAAGTCCCAGTAGGAAGAAAAATCCAAATGTCTATAGGCACCACAGATTCCTTTCCAAGAGTTGGGACAGACCTATATAACGGTCATAGTACTTTCATCTACATCAAGATTTCTATAACTTGATGATCCTAGTGAATTACAAAGCAGTTATAGAAATTTTATGTAGAGTAAGACTTTCAAGTATTTATATAGGTCAAATTCCATAGCAAGATACTGCCCAAAAGATTTGCTCTGATGTAGCTAATATCTATTTGAAATATGCTGGCTTTGTTCAGGGCAGGGAAATCTTTTGTTGTATGGAGATGTTGGTCATAATGGTATTTATTCTGATAGGGGTTTTGCCACACACTATCGGAGGAGTAGAAATGGTAACCACATGTCATTACCACAATGAAAACACATGCAATTCACAAATTAGTAGAAAAACACAATGATTTCTAAAGTTATACTGGTGGATTAGTATAGTATGGTAAATGAATATAGTCTTATGTTAACAACAATCTAATTATGAGTCAAAATCATAATTAGGGGATGTAAAAAAAATGAGAACTGGAGACAGGCTGGCTACCCGTTATTCTTCTAATAATTTTCTTCTTTAGTCATTTTGAGCATTAATCAGATTTCTTTTATTCTCCAAACTACTGATAGAACTAGTTTGTCCTTTTTCCTTTTTAATCAGAGCATGGCATTTTATAATCTACTGTATCACATATTTATTGAGTGATTTATGTGTGTGTGTGTGTATTTTGTCTCTTTGCTAATATCTCTTCAAGGGAAAATGTCACATTTGCAGGGCATTGAATATTTATTTGACACCTACTATAAACCAAGTCCTTTACATTTAATTCCCACAATAATTCTCTTAAGTTGTTTTTATTCTCCAAATTTACAGATATGGAAAACAAATCTCAGAGAATATATATATAATTTGACCAAAATCATGTAATTAGTAAATGGAAGGGTTGAGACTCCATGTTTTAACCATTACCTTTTCCTTTCCACAAATGTGTATTTACCCCTTTCTGTATGCCAGGTGCTGGAAGGCACTGGATTTCTTTTTCTCACATCACCTAGCATTATATTCTATACAAAGAAAGCATTTAGTATTTTCCTGGTTGAGTAAATGATTGTGGGGCAGGGGGGAGCTCTCTTGTCTTCCTAAAGTGGCAATTTGTGTTAAAAATTGAGGTGCCAACTTCCAAGGCAAGATTCAGAGTGGGATTTCTCATGTGGAGTCACAGGAAATTAGCTGACTCAGGAAAGGGAAACGTGGATTTATGTCCTTGCTCTGCCTCTAACTAGCTGTGTGACTTGTGGTAAGTCACTCAACACCTCTGGTCTTTGGTTTATCAACTGCAGAACAAGGAAAAGTGAGGCTCACTTAGTTATCTTCATATCCTACTGCTTTAAATAAATTTTGGGAATTAAAAAATTATTGAGACTAATGATCATTTGAAGTCTCAAAAAAAGGAAACATGTTTTTGATATTGCCAAAGTCTGTTAATTGGCTAATATCTATATGGTTATTAACAAATGGCACCTGTCAGTATCTCTATTCTCAAACCAAGTGTTTAGAACTAAATGAAAAATTTATAGGGACTTGAATAAAGCCATCCAACTAAACTGAGAATGAACACAAGCCCTATTTATTACTACTTATATAATTTGTTGTAAAGCACATCTGTACTTATGTCTCTACAGGACCCATAGAAAGCAGAAAAATTAATAAAAAGTGAACCTGAAAAGCTAAATGTAACCTGATATCAATATTATATATTAATTTAGAATGACTGTTTTACTGTTTATTCACAAGTTTGGTAGATAAACACAATCCCAGCAGAAGTCATTTTATGTTTGTTGCTTCTGCACTGTAGCAAATATCTAGACATGTATAACTTTATATTTGACACGCAAAAAATGTAGTATATGATTATGTATATGCAAATATATGGGCAGAAATCCTATAAAGTGGTTATGTGCTAAATATCCATAATAAAAATGTATAAATTTTACTGCAAGAAAGAACAATGTTAAGGATGAGTGAGTGATAATACCAAACACTTATTTCCATTTTACTACTATATTACTACTACTATATGCACATTTTTGGGACACTTTAAACATCTCCAAAATAAGGATGTACCTTATCAGCAACAGTGTGTCATAGCAAACTATCTGGAGTAATTTTTTTTCATTGCTTAGTGATTTATAAAATTCAGGTATATATTAACATGAATAGTGTCTTAGATTTGATGAAATACAGTAAATTATAAATACTATATTAAAGCAGGTCTACCTTTTAAAATATATACATACCTGAAGAGACTTCTACCCAAATTGTGAAGTTGATTTTTTCCTTCAAATATCAAAAGCAGAAGAATGGAGGCTTTATTTATTCAATCATGACAAGGAATCATGACTGAAATAATAGAAATCAGGAGAGAAATCAGAGGTGATTAGGTATTTAAGTCTTCTGTCTCAGTTTTCAAATTTCCTCATCCCCAACTAACAAAATATATGAAGACTCATGAAACATTTAAAAAGAAAAAGCATCAGCTAAAGTCTTTAACAGATTAGTACACAATTGTTTCTCTATCTTTCTTAGTTGACTGTTACAGTATTCTATAAGCAAAACACATTCTAAGAAATGAGAAATTCTTTGAAAAACAGCCACTGTAAACTTGACTTCTCCATCACTTGGTTCTCACCTACGTTTCAGGAGACCACTAAAGTCAAGTTCCCCTGCATCGTCTTGACCTTCTCCACTGTCATTAACAAAAGAAAAGCAAATCTGTGTTTAATGCTGAGACACATACACAACCATTTCCCCCAAACACTCTACGTGTAACGTATATGCAATTTTGTACCAGCACACAAGTCATGGGACTAAATCAACACAAACAATTTCTTTTCACACAAGTGACATTTTTAAGTGTTGGAGTATGTACTTGTGGAAAAGTAAACACGAGGAGCATGTGTTACTCTATGATTTCAGAAGACGTATTTTTGTGGATTGCATATATAAAACTGCTTGGATTTGTGTTAAAACAGAGTAACACAAATGCACTTAAGCCAAGCAACACAAAGTACTTTGTGTTTGCAAGTTGGGGGCTCTGGGAATATACCTGTGTAAAAAGCAAAGGACTTTTGCTGATCTCTGTTATTCATGTCAGAGATTGGCTTGGAGGATGAAGTGTACCATGCCAAATATATAAGTACGAAGCTTATATTCAAAGGTAACCTCTTTGTGTCCATCAATAGATGAATCAGATAATGTGATACCAACATAGCATAAAAATGGAGCTAGCGCAGAGCTTTTTAAAAAGATGCATTCCTTTCTCTTTTAAAGGGAAATCATGACAAGCTTTTCCTTTTCTGGTTAATATTTATACCTTTTAAAATATATTTACCAAAAATCTGTCTTAGAATGATTGATAAGCCCTTTACTAGGAGTTTTTTTTTTTAAATGCTTTCCTACAGAGAAATGCATCTTAAATTAGGCATGCAGCCACCTTCATGATTTCATGTAAATTCTAAATAGAAGCTATGGAACTGACATTTAAATGGCACTACATATTTACTTACATGTTTAATTTTCTAATGAAGATTTTGTTTCCTGCTCTTTACAAATGTTAGTATGGTTTCTAAGAAAAGAGTCTGCGGGTTTAAAAACAGTGTGTATAACATGTAAGTTATAAGCATTGAACTCAAATAATGTGCTTTCAAATTTTCTTTAATAGCAAGCAGTTGGAGAAGACCTTCTGACATAAACACATTTCTATTCTCTTACAGCTTAAAACTTAGCACATTATGTCTCCCTCTCTTAAGATATACTGAATACAGAGGATAAGCATAGTTTTAGACCTACTGTGCATTTGCTGAACATGGGATGATGGAAAGAAGGAAAGTAAGAGAATTTGAAAATTATGACTTTAAAAAATATAATAAGACTTATCAGGAAATATTAAATATCTTTTTAAAGTAATTACAATTTTCACTTATTCATAATTCAGGAAGGAATTATGTCTTTTATTAACAGACTAAATCACTGTTTTATGATATGATAGATAAGGTGACTTTCCTTATTTAACAAAACTGTACATGGAGTCAATCTTAAGAAGAACAAAACAATCTCTCTCATTAATGAATTTATATTTTGGAAGAATTAAGTACAGAGGGTGAAATAATGGCAGGAAGAGGCTAGTTACATTTCTCATAGACCAGATCTTTTTTTTCACCTTTCTTCCTTATTAACCCTCTGATTGTTCAGCCTTGGCAGCTGCAAAAGAAATCAAGTAAGTGTCTATATTTTGCCTTTCTACAGTGTTCTTTATTCCAGCAGGCTCAGTGATCTTTTATTTAGGAATAATCCAATATTTAAATAGTGCTAACCAGTAAGCAACTACTTAATTGTGGTTTTCTGGGCACGTGGTTTAGTAGCTCCATATGTGATCTCTAAATAAAAAGCAATATAAGTTTTCTATACTGCTTAATTGATGCTGTATGAGATAGATGTGTATTGTAATATATCTTTCTGGGCCATTTGGTAGAAAATAATGCAATTAAGGAAGAAGCCACTTATGAATAGAAAAAAAGTGTGTCTTCATAAGGCAGCTGTGAAATTTGCAAAATGGGAGTGTCACTATGACAAGAATATTCTAAAAAATGACCAGTACATACTTGATTTGGCATTAAATCCATGGCTTCTCTAGAACACTAACTTTTGAACACATAGTATGTTTGACTTCAGTGAAAAGAGTTGACCTCATTTGGAATATAGAATGTGGAGGAAGGGAATGTGTGTTTTGAAAATCCTCCACTTTCATGTGATAAACAAAAGCTACCTCAGTTCCCCTCTTGAAGTTACCTTCTCTTGAAAGCAGATCTGATGTCAATGTTTGGAGTAGTCCCAGTAGATTCTTTGAAAGGAAAGAAAACAATAAAATAAATACCCATTAAGAAGGCAGTTTGAGGTTTAGTTCCTTTCCAGGCTGTGGGGATTCTTCAGATGGAAGAAATGCCAGGTGGAGGGGGGATGGCTCTCCTCCCGGTCAGCTGAGCTGCTGAGATATCATACCCCATCCTCCCTCACACATAATCAGTGAAGGGACATCAGGAGTCACCGTATCCAGTTGCCGTTCCACCTGCCTGCCCATTAGAATCACCTAAAGAGCTAAAAAAAATACCAGCTTCTTAGCTCCCTGATGGAGATTTTGATTCACCAGATTAGGCTTGGGCCCCCAGAAATCAGTATTCTTCAGCAGCCCCTGAGGTGATTCTCGGAGACACATGGCCAGGTTGAAGAAGCAACACTCAGGACCAGATTCCCACTTAATAAAGATATCTCAACAGCACCTCCACTGAAGGTCCCCCAGCCTCTGCAGGGTGACTCTGGACTGGGGCTCTCACAGACTTCTGCTGTGTCTACACAGCTTTAGTGAAGGAGCTTGTGCTAATGTTAAGATAAAATTCACCTCCTCATAGTTTCCACCTTCTGGTTCTAATCTGCTTAAACTCTTCTCGAGGGCACAGAAAATGGCCTTTTCTTTGTTCTGTGTGACAGCCCTTCCCCTGTATACAATGAGTCATAAATGCCTTAACTCCATCACCTCCACATTCAAGCTGACTAGGGCTTAGTTCCTGGACCCTTCATCCTCCTGGTTACCCTAATCCAGCAGGGATCCCAGTGGAGGCATGGTGTTCATGGCCAAAGGCATTACTTCATATGTGGAACAAGCAGCATGTTGCAGAGAGCAGTATCACTTTCCAAACCTAGATCCTATAACATCTGTAATGCTCCCGTTGTAAATTACATCAGCTTTGTCTTTTGTAGCTACATCACACTTTGGATTCAGCTTAAGTTTATGATCTTTGCTGCCAAGTCAACTTTTCCTTTGTATACTTATAGAAGTTTTACTCTTCCCCCAATCTACATATATACCTTTAATTTATTCGTATGAAATTCACTCTTGGCAGTACACAGAACAAATGGATGAAGAACTTCCATAGCTGACATTAGTCCTTATAAGAGAGATCCTCCCTTCTACCTGGGTATCCTGACATCCTCATCCCACATCAACATACCCCTAAACCTGAGTAGGAATAAGAGGACCCACTGAAACAGTTACATTCAGTAGCAGCGAAAAAATAAAAAATAAAAAGCATCAGCCCTTATCTGAGAGATTAAAGGAATACAGAGAGCATGGACAAGAGATATTTAACAATAAAGTCCCTTAAATTCTGTTTTTAAATTGCCTCATAACAAAAATTCAGTGGGCTTATTGAGACTACCACAATCAGCAACACATAGTCTCAAAGGAAACTTTATTTTCAAAATCTCGTAGTAATAAATGGCCTGATTCTCCTCTATCCCAGCACAACCCATTAAAAACACAAAGTCACACTTTTCCAGACTAGAAGTCTCTCTTACCGAGTACTTCAAGATCGAATGAACAGCTGTCAAACTTATCCTTGTAGGTGACCTCGCATCTGTAGTTTCCTGCAAAGTTCTCTTTGGCCTGGATGATCTGCATCTCGAATGTGTACACCTGCAATAAAATGCACAGACACATTTCAGCCCTACCTTGCTGACAGAAAGAGGTCCAAATTCCTCCTCATTAGCTTAAAGATAGGTCTATATCTGGGGAGTCCAGTACACTGTTCTCACTATAGGAGGGGTCAGTGCAATACCGTGGGCACAGCAGGGCAACCACACTGGAGTATAAATACTAGGAATAGTAACGCCAGAGGATTTTCTGGGACTGAAGTCTCTCAAAGCCGAATGTGAAAAATGACATTTTACGCAGGTCACAGAAGGAATGAGTTAGCTGAGCCCCTGTGGCAGGAGGTCAGGGCCATACCCGACTATGCCTTTCGAAGGTCTCCTTCAGCTGGAGGTGCTTCCCAGCTTTGCTGGCCAGGTCCATCCATTTCCCTTTGAACCATTTGATAGTAGGCTTTTTGAGAAGATCTTCCGCCTTGACTTTGGCTATAAAGGTGATATTTTCACCTAGAAAAAAGCACAAGTAATTTAAAACTGCCATTTGTGGTTTAAAAACTGCCATTTGTTTTGCTTTTGGTCAGAAGGAGTTACACAGGACTATACTGCATAGATTGTGATGTGACTGGTACCACTGGAATTGAACAATGAAATGGCCTTGACTTTTTAAATGAGTACTGTAGTTCTTAGGATACTCCAACTTCTGCTTTTGAGGTTTATGGATCAGAAAAAAGCGCAATGGGGAAATCGGTGGAAGTAATTTTTGTTTGGAAATCAAACAAATGTTATATGCACAAAATAAAATATACAGGCATACCTTATCTTATTGTACTTTGCTTTATTGTGCTTTGAAGATACTGCATTTTTTCCTACAAATTGAAGGTTTGTGGCAACCCTGCACTGAGCAAGTCTATTGGCGTCACTTTTCCAACAGCATTTGCTCACTTCATGTTTCTGCGTCTCATTTTGGTAATCATAATATTTCAAACTTTTTCATTGTTATTATATTTGTTATGTGATATGTGGTCAGTGATCTTTAATCTTACTATTACAAAAAGATTAGGATTCACCAAAGGTGAATGGTTAGCTTAGATAATGGTTAGCATTTTTTAGCAATAAAGTATTTTTAATCAATATGTGTACATTTTTTAGATATAACACTACTACATACTTAATAGACTGCAGAGTAGTGCAAACATAACTTTTTTTAAAATTCACCAATCCACCTATCCCCTCGCAGCATAACTTTCATATGAACTGGGAGACCAAAAAATTCTTGGGATTTGCTTTATTGTGGTTTTTACTTTATTGTGGTGGTCTGGAACCAAATCCTCAATATCTTCAGGGTATGCCTGCATATGAAAAAATGAAATAAAATTGAAAAAAATACTAATCATGCATCTATATTTTTCTGTCCTTTTTATTAGGCAAGATGATGGCAAGTCTGGAATTATAAGAATATGACTAAATAAAATTCATCTTTTTAAAGTAAACTCTCTTATCTGTTTGTATTGACTCATTAGACCCAAAGGACATCAAAATTCTAGCCGTGTCCAGCCCAGCATTTTGATGTCTCCCAGAAACATGAGGGGAGTAAATGTTTCCAGTCACATGCAGTGTGCCTCTATATACTAGACCTGAAAGAATTTCAGAATGCAGTCACCTGTGTGTTCATTTGCATAGTATTTGGTGAGGGTCAAAGACTGGCTCTGATCACAATAATTACTTATAAAAATTCATTTAGTTAAAATTCCTGGACCCCCTGGTCATCCTCTAGCTTACCACCCTGTTTATTTCCTGCAAGACATTTGGCTTTTGTGAGGATGTGTTTGTTTAATTTCTTCTAGTTTGCTCCTCTCAGTCAGACTATAAGTTCAGAGTGCTCATGACTTTACTCAGTATTTAGCACAGTGTCTAAAACAGTAAGAGTGTAATCAATATTTTTGGAATGACTGTCTTCAAAGTTGAACTATCTATCTGACCAGCTTTCTCTGAGATACTACATATTATGATCCAGCATATATGCAGACTTATAATCATCTATGGAATGAGGTGTGTCATAACAACAGCAGAGACTGGCTCAGAGCTTTAAGATGTGCCAGACACTGTTTAAAGTACTTCACAGGTATTATTATCCCCATTTTACAGATAAGGAAACTGATTTGAACCCACTCTGGCCGGAGGGTCCAGGCACTCAATTACTACGTGCCACAGGTCACGAAAATAATAGCTCTCACTCACTTCTTCAGGTTATAAAAGGCAGGATTTAGTATATTAATACAACAGAAGATCATTCAGCCATAAAAAGGAATGAAGTACTGATTAATGCTACAACTTGGGCAGACATTGAAAACATTATGCTAAGTGAAGGAAGCCAGACACAAAAGGTCACATATTGTGTGATTCCATTAAATATTCAGAATGGGGGAATTCATAGAGCAGGTTAGTGGTTACCAGGGATTAGGGGAGGGAGAATGAGGGATAACTGCTTAATGGGAGATAAGGTTTCTGTTTGGGGTGATGGAAATATTTCCGAACTTGGCTGCACTATGTTGAGTGTACTAATAGCTACTGATTATTCCCTTTAACAAGGTTAATTTTATGTTATGTGGATTTCATCTTTATTTTGGAAAAAAACAGGATTTAATGCTTAACACTCACCAACTTTCACGGTTCCGGACTGAGGCTTTTCCACAAGCAGGGTGGACAGCTGAGAGTTGGCACTCTGCTGCTTGTCTTGATCCTCCCCTGCAGGTGGTTCACCGATAGACCACTCTAACGAGCAAAAGAAGGAAGGGATCATTTCAGGGCCAAGTTCTTCTTAGGCAGACTTACCTGAGTCTTTTTCTCATCAATGCTGAAGCTTCTCTTTGTCTAATAAACCTGGATAAACATCACATCATTCTTTCTTACCACCTCCCCCACAGCCACCAGTAGAGAGTGATGGATTCCCATTCATACAGGGATCTCTCTTCCATGTTGGGATAAAGGAAACTTCTCTAATTCCTAGAAATAGCCACACTTTTCAGAAAGGTTGTTCTTCTCTCCTGGCAGCCAAGTTTCCTTTGTTTCCCAGAACTGCCTGTCCCCTGATAATGGTAGGAAGGATATGAAAATGGCACCAAGTGTTTTTCCAAGGGACTGACTAAAAGGCCTATCTGTGCAACAACAGAGTTGGAAAAGACTAAAGGGATGGACGGTCAGTTTGCTGGTCAAGTGGGAAAGGTCAAACAGCTATGCCTGGCCTCGTATTTCTAGATTCCTCACTGTTGTATGATTAGACAATTCTATCAGGGTTGTACAGATGTGGCCGTAGTTTGACAAGTAACAGATCAGGACCCGCAGGCACACCTTTCAAGAATTCTAGGAGCATCCTGAAAAAAAGGGGAAAAACTAGAAACATAAAAAGAAAAATAAACTCTTGGAGGCTTTTCCATGAAGACAGACAAGCTGGAAATAAAGTTTATTTTGCATTCTCTAGTTTGCACTCCAGGTGCTTAGGTTGTATTAATCAGCAGTCAACTCCAGTGAGGAGGCGAGGAGAGAGAACCGTAGGTAGCCCTTCTGAGAGCTGAATGAAGAGAAATTCAGTTTCAGCCACTTAATAACTGGAAAAAAAAATGCATGGGCTGCCAACTCTCTACCTGTTAATGTTTCTTGAAAAGGAGGAAATGTGGATTTAGTTATTTTAGTTTCATGTCTCAATCATGCTTAGTAATTTAACCCATAGGAGACCACCA